ATCACACCTGTTTCCATTAGCACTTCAAGCTCTACAAAAGTAAGAGTTGAAGACTTGTTCAACTTTTGATTACCTACCAACCAAAGGATGCTTGCTTTTACAAGTTCTACTGGAATATAAGTGTAATTCATGCCAAACCCCAACATAAATATTTACAATATAAGCATGTCAATAAAAGGAGATCCCCAGTGACCACAGAAAGCCCTCAAACCACTAATGATTCACTGACTACACTGTGAGAACAACTAGCAGCTTGGGATGGTTGAATCCTGGGTTCATGTACCAGTCCTATCATTATTTTATGTCCCTGAGCAAATCAAAATGATTTACATTTTACAGGAGCATTTACTGAAGAATAGTTAACACCAACTAAAACACTGAAAAGAAACTAAATTCAACCTAAGTAAAGGATAATACATCTATAACACAGTATACTATTCAGCCATTACAAAAATAATGTAAATGTAGTCATGACAGACACTCCCAATTTATTGGTTAAAACATAAGGATGGACAAATTCCCTAAGATTATGCAGATTATGGTGCCATTTTTATAAAAACATATACAAGTATCTGCACATAAATGTATATAAGAATACATAAATGTTTGTAAGAACACGACAAAAATTTTACAGAAATTATCACTAGGTAACTTTTCACTTGTATTTTCTAATTTTTCTAGAATAAATATATTAGTGAAGTTATTTTTGTTTAAAACAAAATCACAACCTCTCTATACCTTCATCCTATCCTTTGTTTATAAGAAGCTACGACAGTTGTAGCCAATCACTAACTTACAGCAATATCTAGGGGTGGTCGGAGGTAATGAGAGGGACTGAAAGAACATTCCTATAAATAAAAAGTATAATATGGTAACATCTCCATTAATAATGAAGATGAGTTCCAAAAACACTCCACATTGTCAAGAACTCTGTTACCGAAGGGGAGTTTCAGAGGGCAGGGTTGCATTTCAAAGATGTTGCATGCTGGAAGGGCAATTCCTTCCTCACTTTCCAACTCCAACCTACGAGAAGCCTAGCCACTCCCTTTCTTCCTGGAGACCAAGTCAGTGAATTACCTTACCATGCCACTGCTTCCTTGAAAGAAGCAGTTGCAAGAATTTGCTCAAAATGTTCATAAACAAATGATACTTCTTAAACATTCGTAAACCTTCCTAATAACTGATTGTAATAGTACTACACACGAGGCTACATGCATAATAAAACCGCTTCCTGAAGACTGAGCCAGGCACTCTGCACGCTCTCTCTTATTCACCTTTCCCTCAACTCCACAAAGAGGGTGTGCCATTAGCCCTCTCTTACAAAATTAAGAGATGACTTACCCAAGGACAAGGTAGCAAAGATTTACACCCAGGGCTGCCTCCAAACCCAGTCTCCTTCCACTTACACTATTCTACCTTTAAGTTCAGGTCCCTCTCAGCTGATCCTTTAAGGACAAGCGAGTATCTGCCCTGGGTGTTCACTCAGGGCTTGACTGTGCCTTGCTTGTCAGGCCCATCGACTTCTTTTCTTTCATGTAACGCACTGAGTGCCCACGGTGTGCAAGGGCACTTGGAGAAAGACAAAAACGAGTAAAGCACAGCCTCCATCCTCAGAAAACTCTTACAAACTCCTAGGAAAGATAAGACATATATAAACTACCATTAAATTAGAATGAACACGTCTATAAAGCAATACAATCAAACTTCAGGAACTCGTGAAAAGCTCAATTTTCAAGTAAAACAGTTTTACTCACTTAAAGGAACAAAACTTTTCCTAAAATTAAGCATCTTAGATAAAAATATTCTTACCTTCCCAAGCATAAAACACAGTATAACAACTAAAAAAATTAACATTGATTCAACTTACTAATGTGCTAAGTGTTTTATATACACTTAATATCTTGTTTTCACCAAAACCCTGAGGTAGGTACTATTAATGGCCCCATTTTAAAAGCACATAACAGAAAACAGGTTGTTATTTGCCCAAAGTCACACAGCTAGTAAATGATGGAGTACTGATTCAAATCCAGCAGTCTACCTCTCTATTCTGCCTTTTGATACATTTATTCATTGATTCAAACATTTATTGACCACCTACTGCATACAGAGCATTATGTTGAGAAATGAGGATAGGGCAGTGAACAAGAAAGCTTATTCATGAAGCTCCCCTTCTGACTGAAAGACAGATGAATAAGAAAACAAATGAGCCAGCCCTGATGCCCTAGAGGTTAAAGTTCAGCGTGCATAACTTCTGCGGCCCAGGTTCACTGCCCGGTTGAAGAGCCACACCAACAGTCTATCAGTTGCCACGCTGTGGCGGCAGCTCATATAGAAGAACTAGAACGACTTACAATTAGGATATACAACTATGTACGGCAGCTTTGGGGAAGAAAAAAAAAGGAGGAAGATTGGCAACAGGTGTTAGCTCAGGGCGAATCTTTCCCTGCAAAAAAAGAAGGGAAAAAAATGAGTTAATTATAGATTGTATAAAATGTTATAAAGGAAATAAGCAAAGTAGTGTGAGAGAGCGACTGAGAAAGGCTTACTTCTGTTATGGCCTCTTGTAGTTTTGTTTTCAGTTTCTTCCCAAAGACAAGCTGGCCAGACAGCCAGGCTGGGGACCAGAGGAGCAAGGAGTAGAGAGAAAACAGACCACACTCCTGGTGAAGATGATCACAGAAGTGGCAAAGAGAAGCCCTAGTTTCACCACAGATGTGGAAACGGGCTTAGGACAAGTTTGTGATTTGGTCCAAGTCTCAAGCTGGGACTGAAAGAATAGCTGCGATTTCAGAAGACAGGTGACATTTTGGGTGAAGGAAAGAGTATCAATATAGCCTCTAGTTAGTGCAAGAGAATAAAGCTGGACTCAGAAGTGGTCCTATGGGGCTAGAATCCTGCAAGCAACGGTAACTCTACATGTCATGGGGGGGGGATAAGCATAAGCAGACGGTGCTACGCTAGGGGAAAAATAACTTTAGAGATTTTATTTATTTTTTTCCCTCCAAAGCCCCAGTAGATTGTTATACGTCATAGTTGCACATCCTTCTAGTTGCTGTATGTGGGACACAGCCTCAGCATGGCCGGAGAAGCGGTGCGTCGGTGCGCGCCCAGGATCCGAACCCGGGCCGCCAGCAGCGGAGCGCGCGCACCTAACCGCTAAGCCATGGGGCCGGCCTGAAAAATAACTTTAGACAAAAAGTTTTGTTTGGTTGGTTTTTTGTGGGTGTTTGCAAGGTGGGGAACTATAGCAGCAAAATTAATTAAGAGATCACTACAACTGACTTAGTGAGAAATTTAAAAAACGGATCATAGGAGGTGGTAATAAGAATGAGGAGAGACAGCTGTGAGAGCCACTTGGGATATGTTTGACTACAGGTACAGCAATGGTACCAGAAATATATCCGCAGAATTCAACATGAAATACCCCCAATCCTACCATACTGAATAAACCCTACAAATTTTCACAAATGTGTCGGAATTTTCCCACAAACTCCAATGAGTCAACGTTCTTTCTACTGAATAATACCATGCCTAAGAGAATATCACTTATGCTTGATGAATATGGTTTCACAGGATCTCTTCAAAACCTCAACAGGTAAGTGGCTGTACATATTAACTCATTTAGCATTACAAAATGCCCCCTGACTTTAAACATAGCGTAAAACCACATTATGCTACTCAGATGGGTCACAACTTCCAAAAGCAAACTGATGTTTTTTTGTTTGAAGTCCAGGTCCCACGGAGTCCTCAACAAATTAGAATTTGAAAATTATTTCAAAAAAAACAAAAGGACTCATACAGGTCTAGCATGTTGAGTAGTCCCAATGCTATTTTTAGAACAAGCAACACCACTTCACGTCCAACTTTTTCCAAATACTAACAAGGTCAAGGATCGAATCCTATCTAAAAACAAGACCTATACCACATAGCAAGGATCTCTTACAATGGCTTATCTACAAGTGTTGTGACCTTAAGCGTTTTATTTATATGTTTATTTTACATGCACCTTTACGTTTATATATTTTATATTTAAAATATTTATATTATTTGTATTTATTGTTCTTATACATTTGTTTCCATTCTATTCATTTATATTTTTATACACGGCAGTGTTAACTGTACTGGCAACATTATTTAAAAAAAAAAAAATGCCTTAGGTTTTACCAACATTTCACATTCATTGGATAATTCGGGCCTCAGAACCACCTTGTGAAATACGTACGGAAAAGTATCATCTTCCCCTCCGTACAGTGGTGGGATTGGAGCTCAGAAAGGTTAGGTGACTTGACTAGTTCAAGTTCGCACAGTAATCGGCAAGTGCAGGGCCCTAACCAGGCCTTCGGACTCTTTGTTGATGCTCTTCTCCCCGCGACACTACTAATACCTGAATATTCACGTGTCTCTCTTCAACAAAGCGGACTGTAGCTGAGAGCCAGACCACCGCCGCCTGCCAACAATCGGCGCGGAGCAGAGCAGCCGCAACACCAGTGCTCCTCAAAGCCAACACTAGCACACGCTCAGTCAGGACCCCGTTCAAGGCCGAGTTTGCTCCAGCGCACAAAACTACGGCCTTGAAGCATAACCCTTAATGGGACTGTCCTTTTCACTCAGTGGGAAATTCAGTAAAAGAGAGATGACATACTGTTCACTTATGGTTTTCTAAATTAATAATTTTGGATGCCAAAAGAAAAGAACGCATTACACAGACCCTCTTCCTTCCTCACCCTCAAAGTTGCTTAAGTGTCAAGCGCGGAAGGACAGACGTGGGGCTGGAGTCACCCGTCCTCCTCTCTGTGACTCCCACTGCCCCCAGGCAACCCACTCTTCAAAGCCCGGAGGGTCTCTGCCGACCCCCAATCCCGCCGGGACGAGTGACTACCCAGCCCCGCAGCTCCCCGCGACCGAGACCAGAGCTGCCGGGAGCTGCGGTTGTGGCGACTCGCACGGCTGGCGCTGCTCCCTTCCCCCAGCGTCCCCACCTGTCCCGGTAGCCCGCACACCTGGCGGCCCCTGGCCGGGATGCGCGGCGGGAACCGGCCCCCAAACGCGGCGCCCTTAGCGCT